AGAAAACAAGGTTCTGTTGAAATGGCTCATCAATACTCCACGTTACAAGCAGGCACAAGCCCCTGATTTCTAGCCTTAACGCCACCTGCAAAGCGGTAGGCCAGATGCCGCTTCCAAAGCAACGACTTCTGCTCCTAATGGTCTTTGGGCAGAAATGAAAATAACCAGAAGGGGCTAGAGATGTGAAGACCTGGACGAAAATTGTAGCGGGGGGGGGGGGGGGGGGGGGGAATTCTCCTGAGGCTTTGTATATAAAAAAATTGAAATTTGGGGGAGTACTGAAAAAAAAAACCTCCCAGGAAATATTTTCTCTTTTAGAATGAGTGAAATGGTTTTAGAGACAAGCTGGACATACTGTGCACACATACTACTCTTAAACCCATTTCTGCTCCTAGAAGGATATCTAGTCTTCATGAGGGGGAGCAAGCATACCTCCTGTAGTCCTGACCTGACCTGTGGTTGACCTTTTCACCTCTACCTCAAACCACTGTGACACAGGCCCAGAGGCTGGGTAGCCAATACCTTATTGTCCAAACCTGCTGGAAAGGGGGGGGGGGATATCAGGAGGTGGGGCAGAAACTGCACCAAAGCCTCAGAGGGAAAAAAACCTGAAAGTTTCACTGAGAACTGAATTCTCTCTCGCCAGACAGCAAAAATTCAGGGACCTGCGTGCTAAGAGAGCAGAGGGTGCATCAGCTTGCAGTCTTCTCTCAGGTATTTGGTATATTTGCAGTTTTGCTTGCATAAAACTGAGGCATTTATAATTTTTAAATTCCATAAATATGTCAGGTTGCAATTTTATATGCTAAGAAAATTATAAACGATGCATTTTACGTTGTTAAAGTAGTAATGTTAGCGTAGGTAAGTACTGAATGTTGAATGTATTTCAAGTTTCCCCCAAATTTCCACACACACCCCCAAAACCCCCACATTTTTCCCACATGGCTTCAAAATTTCTGGAATTTTTACATCTCTAGAAGTGTGACACAGCCAAACTGTGATCGTCCTGAATAGGAACACAACCCAAAAACACAGCCGATATTCAACTGTTGCATACAACACAGAGCAGCCACACCATCCAAACAGTTCTTTGGTACTACAGGGTACTGTATTGCAAAAGTAAAGCATTTATTCAAAAAAAGATAACTACAGGAGGACACAACAGATTTATAGACTTATGAAAGTTGCGAAAACTGTGGATAGAAAAACTTTTATCCATCTTGTATAATACTGGAACTGGGGGTAGTAATCTCACTCAGTGAAACCACCTGAGTTAATCTCAGGATTTATAGACGGAAGCAGGTCACACAACATACCATTAACTTAGGGAATTCACTATCATGAAGAGTGGAAGTGGCCACTAGTTCACAGTCATTTTACATGTTATGTATTTTCTTGAATCTACTCACTATCATGTGCTAAAGTTCTTTGTATAAATGCTCTCTTCTATCTGGTTTTTGTAACCCTGAGTTGAAATATCCACAAGATCTTTCTGACTGCTCCTCTAGGATACATTCTTTCAGATGAGACAGATAGATCCAACCCATATATATGTATTATAATTTATTCTGTATTTACTGAGGTAGTCTGTTGCCACGGATGATTACAGTCCTTGGGGTGGAAGGGGACTGCAAGATCAGAACAGATCCAGTCTTTGCACACACAGCCCTTACATAAGCAGAGCTTATTCCATCAACTTGAGTTCTACTTGTGCAACAGTAAAACGCAAATGATTCCTGCCAGGTTCCTCTTTTTCTTGCAGCTCCCCAACCTAATATATGGCATATCATATATGCTGAAGATATCATCTTATGCAGCCCAGACTACACAGCCTTGGAATCCAGTGACACCAGTACTGGGGACTGTACAAAACTGATGTATATTGTCTTAAAGGTAAAGGTAAAGGTCTCCCTTGCTCGAAAGCCAGTCGAATCCGACTCTAGGGTTGCGGTGCTCATCTCCGTTTCAAAGCTGAAGAGCCAGCGCTGTCCGAAGACGTTTCCGTGGTCATGTGGCCGGCATGACTAAACACCAAGGCGCACGGAACGCTGTTCCCTTCCCACCAAAGTGGTACCTATTTATCTACTTGCAATTTCTTGCTTTCGAACTGCTAGGTTGGCAGGAGCTGGAACTAGAGATGGGAGCTCACCTTATCATGCGGCACCCGGGTCTCGAACTGCTGAACTACTAACCTTCCACAGCCTGCAGTTCAGCGTCTTAACCACTTGAGCCACCGCAGCTCCATATTGTCTTAATGTTGTTTTAATTATCATTATTACGATATTGTTGTGATGCGTGAGTTTTAATTGTGATCTGTCCTGAGCCCGTTCGTGGGGAGGGCGGAATATAAATGTGAATGAATGAATGAATGAATGTTGTTCTCAGGGGTCGTCTGGACTAGAAACTGTCCCAAAAAACCAAGCAAATGCATGGTTTTCTACCTCTCTATTAACAAACTCATAAAGTAAACTTTAATTATCATGATTATCTGGTAAAGCAAAACTGCTCACCCCATTACACATTTTCTTTCTTTCAGGGATGGATATCTACTGAATAACTTTAATACGTATCCAAATTTATAAATACCTACTGGGCCTGCATAAACCTACAAAATTCAGTGCCTGTTCAAAGACAGAAACCCATGCATGCATCCAACCACAGCGTTTTTTTCCTCCAACCACAGCTATTTTGGATACAGGCACGGCACAGAAAAGGACAGCTCTCTGACCACTATACTTAAAATTAAAACCTTGGAGGTTTTCTGGAACTTTTCCAACTATCATCTAAAGGAAAACACCAAAGGCTTTATTTTCAAGTTCTGTGGGCTATGGAATCAAAACTTTAGAACAGCCAGTGAAAATTCTGGAGGGCACAGCTGTAAGATACAGCACATGGCTACAATTCTCACTACTCAAACAGACTTGAAAAGCTGAAAGTAAGACTGCACACTAGATACATTTTAAACCATGCAATCAAAAACCAGGTTGAAGAAAAAGATACTCTGCACTCACCCACAACTATTGATGGCCATCAGGTTTGAGACAAGTACAAAGGGATAAGTCAGCATACTGGCGAAGAACTGCAAGTGTAATTCAGGGAGATGTTATCAACAGAAAGGACGCCACCCGCTTTCTACGCACCCCCAGCTCTGAATCAGTTTGTGGCAAAGCCTCCTAAAAACTATAGGCAAATATAACCCCACAGCCACCTTAGTCACAGGAAGTGTGTGTTGCACTGCAGAGCCGGAGCTTTGCATTTATTTCAATACGTTTATTCTGGTAGGCATTCTAATTTGGGATGGGAGGGCTTCCACTTCTGGTTAAATGGAGAAAAGGAAGTAACTGAAAGTTGTTCATCTCACAGCTTAAAAAATAATTTGAGCCTAGCAACAATCCCCACTTAAGTGGCCAACTTCAAGTGCCTAGATTGAATGTTACTGGTAAATGGGCCTCCTGATTATGGGCAGGGGTCCTGAAGTCTAGAAAGTGCACGGCAGTCACCCTCATTTCCAGGGGGCCCTAGCATCATTCCAGTTACACCCACCCCAACATCAGACTAGAAAATGAGCCCTCAATTCTATTGTCACTGAAAGCAAAATCTGCCGGACAGAAAAATGGATTACACACGCACACCAGTGACAGCCTGAGAATAACTCTTCATCTCAGTCATGGTGGAGACCTATGAAAGAAAAGAAATCAGTGAACATGACCATGTTCCCCCATTAACAGTAGTTGCTCTCAACCCCATCTGGTCCTGAGAGGAAGGGAGAAAACCCAGGAGTTGCCTGAGAATGCTAGACAAATATATCCCACACTGGAACTACTAGCAACAGGCAGCAATGAGGAATCATATTCAAGGGCTGGGGGCAGCAAGCAGTGAGCAGAAAGACCAGAATAAGACTGTTTCGGGCTGACCAATACGAGCACGATGCACGGCACACTCTTGCTCGAGATCAGCACTCCATCACCCATGCGCCTCAGAGTGCAAGAAATACACTTACTCCATTCTCCAGTGCATAAGTATTGATGAGGTAGGCCAGCATGTTACAGAGCCACAAGGACAGAATGTCTCCCAGCAGGCGGGGAATAAGGCCCCTGAAAGAGAATAACTAGCTGTTGTATTTCCTTGGAAAATGTCACACCACACCCCCCCCCCACATCTGTCCACTGTCCACATGACAAACAAGATAACAGCACTCCCCTGACGTTTGTCTGTCCTACAAACAGTATTCAGTGGCCCTCTCTGTGGAAAAAAAAGGGCGTAATTACCCCAGTAAAGGCTCCCAGGACAAGTACTCACGAAAAAAATCCAAGGATGCCCTCTTCCCGGTAAATTGTAACAAACGAGCTAAACACGCCACTGGAAAAGAAAAGAAATCCACTAAATTACTCCAGCGTAAGGAAAATACTAAGCAGGACACTCCCCAACTGTCCCTTCGTCTTACTCTTCCAACTGTCTCCCCCAGTAAAGATAACTGGAAACCAAAATAGTTACACGCTAATTTCTCCCCACCACCTTTTTTAGTTTTCACAGCAGCAAGCATCAGTCCTGTGAGTTAAAGCCTGAATGACGCCAACTCATGCATATGCACATACCTGTACTTGGTCTCTCTGCCAATGAACTGCACCATACATCTCAGTGTGATTACTGGAAGAAAATGAGAGAGCCAACAGGGAGAACATCAATGAGGGAAGTCTGCCCTACTTGCTGCTTCCTGTTCAGGAACGCATAGGAATACTCTGCTCCAAGAATACAAAGCCTGACCTTCATATGCAGCAGAAAGAGGTGACAGAATTTTCAACAGACCCATGGCACAATTTCTGAAAGAGCCCCATGTTTTTTTAAAAGCAAAACTTTCAACAAGTAGAAGACTAGCACCTCAGGAAGAAAGTTCTAAACCAGCTTTCTTGCTCCTATGCTAATTTTCTACTTGAGCTTCTTCTTTTTTTTTATGTAAGGGGACATTAAAAAATGTGAAATCCTCCTGCAGTCTGAAGTGGAACAATCCACTCTACTACCTGAAGGCCCTGCCACCTCATCCTGCGGCATGTTTAGACCAAGCCCCAGTCACAATCAAAGTAAAATATCACAATGGATAGCTATGTTAGTCTCTCTGTAGCAGTAGAAAAGAGCAAGAGTCCAGCAGCACTTTACAGACTAACAACGTTTGTGTCAGGATATGAGCTTCCATAAGGTAGTGCACAGATACCTGAAGAAGTGAGCACTGACTCATGAAACCTTATACCCTGCCGCAAATTTTGTTATTAAGGTGCTGCTGGACTCTTGCTCTTTTCTACGATCAAAGTAAAACCAACTCCAACATTTTACAAGATGAGGTAGCCAAAATCATGAAACACCGGTCCTAAAGACACAAGAATATAGCACTCCCTCACTCTTTTAACTGCCCAGACAACTGGTGGCACAGATGGGACCAATGCTCATTGTTCTGACATTAAAATTTATGCTGGCTGTGACTGAAAGGCTATCAGTCCATACCTACCATGAAAAGGGTGAGTGACTAGCGTAGCAGCAGAACGTGCAACCATTTCTTGAGAAGTCTAAGATAAAACAAACCCAGAAGCATCAGCAGAAAGGCATGCAATCCTGAAGGTTAATAAGACTTTGAAAAAGGCTGAATAATCAACCGGCAAAAGGAAGGACAAAATTTGAAGGGATGGCATGTGACCAGGTTCCGCTGGAGGATTTCATGACTTCTGCTAATCTGGATTACAATGTGAAGCATTTGTCACATGTTTGTTAAAAAGCTGCACTTTGCACTTTAAGTCTACAGTTAAAATGGGATTATAATTCCTCTATAGGGGAAGGCTCTTTCGAGCTGAGTGACATACTACAGAAGGCCGTCGCTTATTTAGAGAGAGCACCTTGAATGCTTCTCACACTAGACATAATATTTCTGGATGCACTCCATTGCACATTGGGCTCCTCCAGGAAGACCACTGTGACCAGACAGTAATAGACCCCAAATCTCTAATTTAGCAAAAGCAAATTTTAACCAAAGGAGTACATAGGTAAAAACATTTTCTCCCATGCATTCTATTCCTGGCCAACCCCATGCTGCACAGCCTTCTGGGAAGAGGGGTATTACTACAGCTCTTTCAGAGAAATAACAAAACAAGCCTTTATGTTTCAATACTCATAAGCAGGGGTCATTTGGGGGGGGGGACACGGGGGGACGCCATCCCCCCGGGTGAGGTGCGGGAGGGCGGGGCCTGGAGCTCCCTGCTGGTGCCCCCTGGAGGTCGCCGCCGGCTGTGGGGAGGACACACTTCCGGTGATGTCAGGGTGTGTGGCATATGCTAATAAGTTATGCTAATGAGTCCCCCTAGCTCTTTTTCTACGAAATGACCCCTGCTCATAAGCAAGCCCTGCAGTCAAAACAAAGCGGCAAAAACTTCTTAAATAAGTCTAGCCCCAAGAGGATGGTGTGTGTGTCTGTGTGTATAGGGGGGTTAACTTTAAGAGCCAGTGTGGTATAGTGGTCAGAGTATCAAACTAGAATCTTGGAGATCCAGGTCCAAATCCTCCCTCTGCAACAGAAGCTTACTGGGTGACCTAGAGCCACTCACACAAACTCAGCTTAGCCTATGTCACAAGACTGCTGTGAGGATAAAATGGGGGAGTACTAGGTATGCTGCTTTGGGTCCCCATTGGGGAGAAAGGTAGGGTATATACGAAATAAATAACAGAAATAAAGGTCACCGTTTGGCATAGTTTCACTGACCAGTGATTTGATCCTGGAACAGCCACCATCTACTGATACAGGACAAAGTAAACAAGCGTCAAGTTGGAATGCCACAGAGGAGGCAAAACGTGCCTATGGCTCCACACCCGCAGGTTACTATGGCCGCAGGGGACAGGTTTTGTTCTCATTTATTCATAGGAGAAAAAGTAAAATACTACATCTGGGACATGGTTGCAGTGGAGGGAAAACTTGCCCCTAAGCACAGGGAGAGCAGAATGAACTCTCTCTTACTATGCCATTCCTCTGAAAGAATGCCATTTCCTCTTGCGGAGGCAAGTGTGTGATTTCTAACACTTTCCTCCTTCTACTGCAGATCTCTACTTTGCCCCAATGCTATTGCAAAGGGTCTGCTGCCCCTCCCCTACAACAAAATTCCAGGGGGTTCAGTGGGCTGCAGCAGAAAGGGAAGTGGGAAAGTCCTGTTCTGTGAATGGATGGATGGATGCATGCCCTTGTGTCCCTGAGTTCCACTTGAAACCATAAGGGCCTTCTGTCTGTCTGTCTCTGACACATCAGATATTTTGTTTTGTTTTATGCCCCCCGGAGGGGATTTTTTTATTGCAGTTTTTAATAGACTACAAACTACAACGAAACATTAGGAAAGGGTAACTACATCTAGGGAGAAAGGAATGAAAACCACTACTAACTAAAACCCCAAGTATAGGAGATCATAACAATAGCTTATATAAGTGTTAATCTTAAATTGTTAGTATTACTTTAAACATAGTCGGTTATGCTAAGTTTTTTATCTTTTTATCCAATGATTTAACTGTTTAAGAGAACCCCAAGAGCATCCCATAATAAAAAAACAGGTTGTTTACCTGTAACTGATGATCTTCGAGTGGTCATCTGCCCATTCACACCCATGGGATCTAGTGCGCACACGCTGGATCGATCGGCATTGTAGCAAGCTCTTTAACAGATTTTTGCGCCCAGTCCCTCAGGCATGCGCAGGAACCCCACCGCGCATGCCTAGAGGGGTGGGCGCGGACATCCCGCCAGTTCCTTCAAACTGCCGCAAATCAACCCCTATGGAAAATGTAGAAGCTGATAGCAGCAGGGTAGGAGGCCGGGTGGTGTGAATGCACGGATGACCACTCGAAGATCACCAGTTACAGGTAAGCAACCTGTTTATCTTCAACGTGGTCTCTGTGCTTTACACCCATGGGAGATTAGCGAGCAGTGGCCTACCTGGAGGAGGGTGCTGGCAGGTCCTTTACTGTGTAGCCAAAGATAGAATGCAATGTCCTATGTTGGTATTAGAATTTTTTCGGACGCCTAGGGCGTAGTGCCTGATAAAAGTGTTAGGCGTGGCCCACGTAGCGGCTTTGCAAATGTCCATCAGGGGCACTCCCTGGAGAAAGGCAGTGGAAGTCGCAACAGCCCGGGTTGAATGGGTCCAGGCAACGGCTGCTTTGCAATCAGGTAGCAGAGGTGGATGAGACCCGCAATCCACTTTGAGAGGCGTTGAGCCATGATGCGAGTCCCCAGCCTCGCTGGTGCGTAGGAGACGAACAGTTGGGAGTCACGTCTCATTGGGCGGGTTCTGTTGAGGTAGAACAGGAGCGCCCATTTGACATCTAAGGTATGTAACAGCCTCTCCTCTGGGGATTTCGGGGATGGGGAAAAATCCGGGAAGAAGACCTCTACCTGTAGGTGGAACTCTGACACTACCTTTGGCAGGAACGAGATGTCAGGGATGAGGCGGACACCGTCTGGCAAAAAGGACAAGTATGGCGTGTCATGCCTGAAAGCCAATATTTCTCCAACTCGCCTTGCAGAGGTGACAGCAACCAGAAAGGGCGTCTTCCACGACAGACATTTCATATCGCAAGTTGCGAGTGGCTCAAAGGGTTTCCTCGTGAGCTGGCGAAGAACTAGAGGAAGGTCTCAGGGAACGACAGGAGTTTTGACAGGAGGGTAGAGATGCAATAAACCTTTTAAAAATGTTTTGAAAGCAGATGGGAAAACAGTGTGCATCCGTCAACGTGAACATGGTAGGCTGAAAGGACGGCCAAATAAACACGTAACGATGAGTGGGAAAGTCCCGAGTCAGCGAGGGATAGGAGGAATTGGAAAACTTTCTCGAGACCCGCGGAGGTGGCTCAAGGGGCATCATCACCAAGGGAAGAACAGAACCTTTGCCATTTATAATGGTAGGACCTTGCGTAGTAGGTTTTCTGGCATTCAGTAGAACGTTCGCTACGCGGGTCGAAAATCCTTTGACGTTATTCTCCACGCAGTCAATTTTAATCATGGTATGTCATGATGTAGGAGAGGGGAGTCAGACAGGAAGAGGAGGTCCTGTGCCGGAGGGAATTGGTGGTATATTCCCTTTGACAACTCGAGGACTGTCGAGAACCATGGTTGTCTCGGCCACCACGGTGTTATCAATATGCAGTCTGTGCCGTCTCTGACGATCTTGCGGACCACTCTCAGAAGCAGGGGTATGGGAGGAAACAGGTACAGAAGGCCTATGGACCAAGGAAAAAGGAGACAGTCTCCTAGCGACTGTGAGTCCCTGCCGCCTCGACTGCAGAACTGGGGACATTTTTTGTTGGCTCTGGTGGCGAAAACATTGACTTGGGGAGTTCCCCACCTGTGGAAGAGTGGGAAGAGGCAGGACGGGTTCATCTCTCACTTGTGGAGACTGAGCTTTGCTCGACTTAGATGATCTGCCTGCACATTCATGTGTCCTTGGATGTGCGTGGCTACCAGAAAGATGTTGTGGGTGATGCAAAAGTCCCATAACTGGATGGAAAGGTTGCAGAGATGAAGGGAGACCGTGCCGCTCTGCCTGTTGACATAACTGAGTGCGGTGGTGTTGTCTGTGAGGACTGTAATACATTTCCCCTTGATTATTGGTAGGAAACTCGTGACCGCGAACTGTATTGCGAGCAGTTCCAGGAAGTTTATGTGTCGACCTTGCTCGTGGGTGTTCCACTTGCCACCAACCCACAGACCCATCATGTGTGCACCCCATCCCGACAGGGAAGCATCCATGGTCAGGGTGATTTGTGGTGACGGAGGGTGGAAGGGCGCTCCCTGGAAGATATTGGAAGGGACAGTCCACCAAAGTAACGAGTCTCGTATGTGTGTCTCGATGTTTGAGACCAGGGCGTCCTTGGAGGATGCTACCAAGAGCCAATCGTCGATGTACGGGTAGTTGGAGATACCCCTGAGGCGGAGGAAAGCTGCAACGACAATCATAGTCTTTGGGAAGACTTGTGGGGCACTTGAAAGGCCGAATGGCAGGGCTGCATATTGGTAATGCTGTTGACCAATTGCGAAGCGTAGGTATTGGCGGTGGGAGGGGTGGATGGTGAGGTGGAAGTACGCGTCTTGGAGGTAAAGGGTGGCCATCCAGATGTGTTTCCGTAGGAGCGGCATAATCTGCTGTAAGGACACCATGCGGAAGCGGTGGTAGGTTACAAAACAGTTCAGTGCCCTTAGATCTAAAATGGGTCAAACGCCTCCATCTCTCTTCGGGACTGTGAAGTATCGGGAATAAAACCCGAACAACTGTGTTCCAAGTTATGGTGGGAAGGATCGTCTGCAGGAGAATGAGACAGAGATGCTGAAGGTCTCGACCTGTAGGGCGATCTCGATCTATGAGCAGAGTGGGATGAATATCGATCCCAGTCAGAATAGCCCACCGGAGTCAACCATGGCATGGATGGTGGATAAGCCCCATACAGATACCTCATCTGCTGTTGATCCCAAGACAGAGGTGGTGGTGGTGGGTAATAAGACTCGGGGGGATCGACTTCTGGACCGTGGACATCTCGGAGACAAAGCGGCAGCCTGTCTTTGAGAGGGGCCCGTATAATCTCGGTTGTCGATATCGACAGATTGACTGTGCAGACATGGAGGATGACGCTGCGTGTCGCATGAAGCATATCGGTGCCGACGTGGATCGATGTTGGGAGCTTCTGATACTGTCGACGTTGACGACGGGGAAGGAGACTGAGAAGGCTCTGCATCCATTTGATGACTTAGGAGATCTACCGTTTCGATGTCGGAGTAAGGATGCTCCATTTGGTGGACAGGGGAGTCCAAGACATGGATGGTCGGTATTGGTGGAGGGGCTTGGGCCTCTGGTATTGATACTGCCATTGGAGTGGGAAGCACCCAGTGCAGACACCGCTACCTTCCCCTTCTTTGCTGCCTTAAAGGACTTAGAGGAGCCCTTCTTTGCGGACTTGTGCTCCTTACTTGGTTTGGCCTTCTTTTTCACCGGCGTGGAAGCGGAGGATTGTGCCTTCGATGCCGGAGGCTTCGGCATCGGTTGCGCTGAGGAAGGATGTAGGGCTGATTCAAGCAGTGCCACTTTAAAGCGCGCAGCTCGGTTTTTTCGGGTCTGGTTCGAAAATCGAGCACAGTGGCAACAGGATTCGGGTCGATGAGACTCTCCGAGACAAAAAATGCAGAGGGTATTACGGTCAAGGGGAGCAAGTTTACTACCACAACCCTTGCACCTATTAAAAAAGCCCCACTTCTTCTCCATAAAAATAAAAGTGAAGAAGAAAGATGGGGTAAGGGGGGGGGGTAGCCCGAAGGCCCGACTGAGGTAAATGGCAACCTTCCCCTCAGTAGAAAATAAAGTTGTTGTTTTGTTTAAGTTTTTGAGAGAACAAACAAAGAGAAGGAATGAACTGAGGAAAAAATCCAAAGAGCCGTGAGGCAAAACGCCAATAAACGTGAACCGATCAGACCGACAAAGAAAGAGGTCTTTCCAACGTGGTGGTAAGAAAGGAACTGGCAGGATGTCCCGGCCCCCCCATCTGGGCATGCGCGGTGGGGTTCCTGCGCATGCCCGAGGGACTGGGTGTGAAAATCCGTTAAAGAGCTTGCTACAATGCCGATCGATCCAGCGCGTGCACACTAGATCCCATGGGTGTGAAGCACAGAGACCACGTCGAAGATCTAAAGTTTTAAGGCACAATTCAGAGTCCTTCAGCCTTCATTTTGTTATATCTTTTCTAATCCTCACTTTATATGTATGTTTGGGGGCAGCCGCCCCCTTATCGGAAAGAGAGTCCTCGTCAGAAGACACCGAGTCCAATTCGCCACTACATTTGCTGTCATCTTCTTCCTTCTCGACCTCGTCTGTCTCTCCCAGCTGCACTCTCAGGAACTCACGTGCTTTAGAAACAGAGTCAATCTTTTCTTTTTTATCGTGTAGTTTGAAAATGACACATTCTGGAACTAACCATCTGTAAACAATACTGTTTGTTTGTAGAAAAAGGATCAGGTTTTTATATTTCTTTCCCTTTTGCCTTATTTCAAATGGAATGACTTTTAAAATCCTGATGGTGTTGTCCCCGATTTTCAAGGGTGTTCCTGTAGTTGCTTTCAGGATAGAATCCCTCACATGTTGCTTTGAGAATCTAACCACTATTTCCCCAGGCAGATTATTCTTTTTGATGTACACGGAATAGGACCTATAGACCACATCCATTTTGCTTACAAGATATTCCGCTTTCAAATCTGTAACTGGGGCTAATGCTTCACTCAGAAGTTGCTTTGGATTCTAACCTTTTAATTCTGGGACCCTTGAAATCGTAGGACCAGATTTGCTTTCTCCATTTGCAGCTGTAAAAGTTGTGATTCTTCCAAGGCTAGTTTCTTTTCCAGCTTTTGCACCTTTTCCTTGACTTTTTTAGTGTTGGCGTCCATTTCCTTCACCTTCTCAGCCATTTGCTCCATTATTTTTAAAGTCTCAGTCAGTTGGAGCTGCTGAGTTGCAAGATTCTGGTTTAGAGTCGTCAGCTGTTGTTCAATGTTAGTCATCTGGTCCAGCAAAGGGTGCAAGAATCTGCCAACATTTCGGAGAACACAGTGACCTCTTCCGGTCGAGGGCTGATGGTCTCGGCTAGTTTCACTTTTGCTGGTTTGTCTTTCTCTGCCCTCTTCCCCGCCATCTTTATGGATTGTTTACTTTTATGAAAACTTGCTAAAGTCTTTGAAATATGCCCATACGCTTATCTGCGCTCTGGTAAGTCTCTCAAAACATATTTCAACACTTTTTCTTCAGCTCCCCCCTTAGTATTTTATTGTTTAGTTCATGCGCATGGGAGGGGCCCCTCCCCCGCTCGCTTTTTTCGCCATTCCCAGGGGGTAAATTATCGTTTTGCTTTAACCCGACCCACAGTTCATTGTTGGTCATACGACCTCCCTCGGCACATGTTCAAAACGCTCGATCTCTGACGCTTGTCCCGGTCAGCGACTCTAGATCCATATGGACACTCAGCAGCAGCACTGTCAGGGCGTTCCCCAGCATCGCGCTGGCGAAAAGGCCACCCCTCAAAAGCCCCATGGCTAGGAGCCGTTTGCCAATGCTCCGGGGTGGGTGGGTAGTGACCCGTCGCCCCTCCCTCCTTTCCACTGGTGCACAGATCACATCCCCGGGAGGTCCGGGAGATGCGTCCGCCAGCGTGTCGCCATAAACCGGAAGTCCAGATATATATATTTTTTTTCACCAAAATTTTATTATTTTAATAAGCGCAGTTATAATACAATTAAGCATTCTTCATGCTCTGGGTCCAGATATTTTGTTGATAATAGCAGACCAGAGCAGGCTGTTAGAGATCCTACCATGCATCACAGTTCCCCAAAACACAGACAGACAAGATCTTACGTAACGGGCACCTAACTCTCCTGAAATGCCATTCTAGTCTCACTAGGACAGAATTCCTAAGACTGCAACATCACCTTGACGTGAGAGCATGTGAAGTCCTAAAGCAGCCACACAGAGCCTATCTGTGGCAATACAGCCCTTTATCTTACCTCCTTAATGACTTTCTCCAGAGAGGACTCCTTGCTGCTGCTTCTAACCTCCTGTAGGAAAAAAAACAAAAGAAAGGCAGCTGTAAAATCTCTAGGGTGGCAGTGTCTCTAGCCACTGTGCAAGACGTTTCATATTTTTAATCAGGTTTTTCTTAATTCTGGGGAAAAAATATTTTGCATTGCCACTTTTCACATGGTACACAGTGCTCCATATATACTGTCCAATATCAATCACTAATGTCCCCTAACACCATAATCCCAAGCAATGGCAAAGAAGGAATAACCACTTCCCAGGAAAAGGAGGATAAAACTTATGCAAAGAACCTAGAATCAACACACCTCAGCTTGGTCATCTTCTTGGCATTTCTAGACAGGAAGAAAACAGAAGAATCTAAGCGGTGAAAACCATAAGCAGCTTGTACAGCCACTCTGCTTAAAATGAAACCTCTAAGAACAAAACAGTTCACTTTCTAGGAGATACCCTGTATAGGATCTACTTCACACACACCTATATAATCTGGCTGCTGTATTTGGGAACTGGTGTTTTCTCTCATGTAAGATTGGCTTCAGTTCCATATGTGGGTCACTTGAGTTGTCTGCTTCACAGGCACCTCATTCACTACTTGTTTTTAGTTTCAGAATCTCTGATTATATCCCTTCGTATAAAGAATAACACAAAATACAAATCTTTGCCCTACATCCTTACAAGTATGGACTGATGAATTACGTAACTATCAAAGCACATTTTATAAGGAAGTGATCTATCTACCCCAAACTTCACCCCAGAGATTCAATACATATATCAAAAAGATTGAGCAAAACTGATAGTTCTGGCTGAGCCTCCCTCTTCCATAACTCACAGCTGTGCCTATGGATGGCTTTGTGTATAAATATCTCTTCATTTAGAAATACTGCTTCTCTTAAGAATACTAGCATGGTAGGAAAGTAGATCAATCAGAAGTTGGCTTTATTAATTACAAAAGACAATCAGCTGTTCACAATCATGTCGTCTTTCAAGGGGATCTTCAGTGTGTCGAGCTGCTTTCAGTAGGAAAGCACGTGTTGTTATCGTTCCAATGAGAAATTAAGTATTTCTGGAAGGGTATTTTATCATTTTAAATACTTGCACATTCTCCTGTAGTACTGAGTGCAACCGCCATTCTAATCTAACACCATGCCTTACATGCCAGTAGATCAAATGGGATTCTTCACTGCTTTGTTTCTGAAAAGGGTTTTTATTTTTTTTGGGGGGTGTCATCTGTTCAAAGAGTTTCAGAACTAAATTAATGTATTCAGCTGCCCTTTCAGCTCTGTGACTAAAACTTCCGTTTTAAGGGGTGAGCTAACAAAAGAGTCACAGCTGAAATCAAGGCAGTTCACAGAAAAGCCTGACCTAATTTTAGTTCACTGTCCTGCAGCCAGAGCGTAAGGAGTTCAACACCCGAAGACCTATTAGAAACATGAACCTGTCAAGGACCTTTCCATTTACTCTGAGAATGAACAGTGACAGATGGGGACGACAGACAAACCATATCTAATGACTAGAGCCCATTCTCATGATTGCTCAGAAGGGCCGCGGTCTTCAGTGGGGCTCACCAACATATGCACCACCCTCAACAGCAAGTAACGGAGAGACTGTTGGCCGAGCCACTCCAGAGTTTCCTGGCGTACACCATCAGCGCCAGCCCAGCTTCTGCCCTGGTCATGGGACAGAGACCGTGCTGGTTGCCCTCACGGACAATCTCTGCAGGCAGCCGGTCTGAGGCAGGGCGGCGCTGCTGCTATTGCTAGGCTTGGCGGCAGTGTTCGACACAGTCGATCACGATCTACCAGCTCATTGCCTTGCCAACACTGGAATTTTTAGGACAGCCTTGGAGTGGTTTGTCTCATTTCCCCATGGTTGGGGACAGAGGGTGGCGCTAGGGGAGAGGGTTTCACCCTGGCATCCTGTAGTACGCGGGGATTTCTCAGAGGGCAATCCTCTCCCCAATGTTATTTAACATTTACATATGCCCCCTCGCCCAGCTGGTGTGGATTTTTGGGCTGCGGTGCCATCAGTATGCAGATGACACCCAGCTGCATCAGTTGTTGGACAGCCAGCCAGATACCACCCCAAGTAATCTGGGTTTGGAGGCTGTGGTTGGATGGCCGAAGCAGAGTCGGCTGAGACGGAATCCATCAAAGATGGAGGTTCTCTGGCTGGATGGGGGAGATTCAGGACTTGGGAGTCAACTCCTGGCTCTTGACAGTGTGCCACTAACACCGACACAGGTGGTCAAGAGCCTGGGTGTGGTACTGGATGCCTCCCTGTCAATGGAGGCCAAGATCACAAATACAGCCAAATTGTTTTTTTCCCCAACTGTGTCAGGTCAGGCTACTGGCTCCTTCCCTGTTTCACCCTGGCCTAGCCACAGTAATCCATGCAACGGTCACCTCTAGGCTAGACTACTGTAACTTGCTCTACACAGGCTATCCTTGAGACTGACCCAGAAATTACAACTGGTCCAAAATGCAGCGGCCTGGGTCCTTATAGGGATCCTGTTAACAGCACACATTCAACCTGTGCTTCGCCAGCTGCACTGGCTCCAGATGGAGTACTGGATCAGATTCAAGATCTTGGTATTGACCTTTAAGGCCCAAAATGGTCAGGGACCAACATACCTCCAGGACTGCCTCTCCTGGTATGTCCCCCAGAGAGCATTACACTCACTGAGGGGAAATATACTGGAGACCCCCTCGCTCAAAGAGTGACTTGGTGGAACTCCCTGCCAAATGATAATCTGAGCCCTGTGGGGTTTAATGCAGTTCTGTAGGGCTTGCAAAGCAGAGATGTTCTGCCAAGCATATGGCTGAGGACAGCAGTGGAGCCGTTCATCTCAATCTCACTCTCTTCTCTTCCTTCCCCCTGTTGAGGAGGTAAGGAGAAAATTCTGTATTATGCCACCATCTACGATTAGTGGTTAAATTGTATTGCTTTTTTTAGTATTTAATAATTTTACATTTCACTATGGCACTGTGTTGCTAACCTGTTGTACACCGCCCTGAGCCCATTTTATGGGGAGGACAATATAGAAGCCTAATAGATAAATAAGTGCCCCTCATTCAGTAAGCCTCTCGCTGAACCTGGAGATGGGAACATGTGGGCAACCATTTCCAAAATGATAATGCACTCTGGAGTTCCTCCATGTGCCCTGGAGAAACAAATCTCATCCTCTTCCTCAGCTTCAAGAGGTGAGCTTGCACTGGTCCAAATACTGCTCTCCTGATGCCACATGGCATGCCACGGTTGACTCACAGAGCCACAACTCCCCCCCCCCCCCCCCCCCCCCGCTCATCAGGAAGGCTAATCCACACTGAAGGAAACACAGTATGACAGGCAACAGTGTTCCCCTTCCTCCTGAACTTGAGCTATAGTGCAGGATCTCATGCTGCATTTCAGGGGTGTTCAAACCTCTTCTGACATTTAGCATTACATCAGAAACAAGAAACCACTCCTCCCTCATTGGGGGATGGACAGCATCTGGAAGTGTCAAATTCTGACTGCTAAGGTCAACCCAAATGTCTGCACCCCTGGATACTACTGGACTACGGCCTTAAACTGAGATTATATTTTATATGTGCTGCTTTTATACTTTTAATTTTTGTAAGCTGTCTCAAATATGTTTGATTGAGATGCAGAATATAAATATTTAAATAAAGCAATCATAACTCTCCACCTCAAAAAGTTTCACACAGCTAGATTAGAGCCCAATAGGCACCTTAAAGGTAAAGGTTTCCCTTGCTCGAAAGCCAGTCGAATCTGACTCTAGGGTTGCGGTGCTCATCACCGTTTCAAAGCCGAAGAGCCAGCGCTGTCCGAAGAAGTTTCTGTGGTCATGTGGCCGGCATGACTAAACACCAAGGCGCACGGAACGCTGTGACCTTCCCACCGAAGTGGTACCTATTTATCTACTTGCAATGTCTTGCTTTCGAACTGCTAGGTTGGCAGGAGCTGGAACTAGAGACGGGAGCTCACTCCGTCATGCGGCACACTCGGGTCTCGAACTGCTGAACTACCGACCTTCCACAGCCTGCAGTTCAGCGTCTTAACCACTTGAGCCACTGCAGCTCCTTAGAGCACCTTAGTAGCACCAACAAAATGTTGGGGGTACAAACTCTGGAAGTCAAAGCTCCCTCCATCGGATACAATTAGGACCTGAGTCCTTAAGGAACTTTGACTCTTGACAGCTGACAGCCTGAAAATCTTGTGGGTCTCTTTAATGCGGCTCTTCTGCCGCTGCAGACCTGCACGGCTGTCCGCTGAAACTATCAGAGTCAGACAGAAATTCAAGACCTTGCATTTCATACACATATGAAACATTAAGGCACTTCCTCTTATCATAACCTAAAAAGTATTAATGAGTCTCGCAGTGGGCTTGAATTGGAGTAACTCTGCACAGGACTGCACTGTAACAGGGCAACTGTAAACATAGTTACACACCCTCCTAAATCCACTGAAATTAATGGGCTTAAAAAGGTATAACTCTATTTAGGAGCAACACTTGGCTTTTGCAGTCAATGTTATAAAAAAGCTAACATCTTATCAGTCTAACTCAGAAATAGTTGATTATGGCATGGGCAAAAAAAAAAGATAAAAATTGCAAAGCATTTTGCACATTAACATTTACTTTATTACAGAATTAAAATACCTGCAAAACTTTGCTGTGCACTACAGAGCCTATTGCTCCTGAGCAGAGTCTAGGAGTCAAACCTTTGAAGAGTCCTGCCCTTCCATCAATCTTCATAATATGTTTAGCTGAAAAAGAATCGACATAAACATAATGATATGCCCCAATGTAGGTTGTTCTCCCCATTCATCTCGCACACCTACAAAGAGGAGATTTCCAGCAATTAAAATGCATAACAACAGCTAATGATACTACACATGTGAAACTATTGAAAACATCAGTATCAAGGTTATCGTAAGTAATGACAAACATAATCTAGAGCACAAGAAAGTACATTAACATTCTATTGATTTCAGTATCCTTAACTGTTGACTAGATTGCCCATGGAACAATGTTAGTGTTCTCGGCCTTTTGGCTAAGATCAAGTGTAGTAGTAGTGTACCTCCTGCGCTGTGTTTGTCCTTACCAAACAGCACCATCCTCTACAGAGCTCAAGTTAATAATAATCAGGACTACCAAGAGGCACCCCAGCCAAAGATCCTCTCTTGCCCCCTACCCACTACCCAGAACCAACACAAACACTGTGTATTAAGTTTAATTCCATGACTGGCCCAGTTCAATGGGGCCCAGAGTAGCCAGGGCCCCCGTAATCTTGTCCCATTAGTACCCCTTCTCTTGGTAGCCCTGATTATTAGTTTGAGAATTGTCCAGAAGCAGTGCATAGTACCACCACATAAATCAGTAGTGTTACCACACAAACCGAAGGATGAAAACTGACACTGCTGGAACATGCATGTGCATACACTGGCCAAAACATGTGTGTGGTGCCTGGAAGGAAAAATACCCAGTTGACCAAACATGACTTGCTATCTAGTATTAAGAACCTCTGCTTCACTGGATGGAATTCTAAAGCTAGTAACCATTCCTACAGCTTTCTCTTCCCTTCTCTCCTGCTATTCTGACTTACTTAAAAGATCCAATGATCCCACATTACAGAAGGGCATTTATGCTTGCTCACATTCTTTTCCCGCGGCCATACTAGAAGGCCAATTTGCAGGCATAGTGTGTTCAGACAGGCTTTGTAAACATGGATCTTGTCAGCTTGAGAGAAAGGTATTTGTCCTCCTTCATAATAAGTTATGTGAATATATCACCTCACAAAAATCGTCCAGTTTTTCCTTGTAGATGAGGATTGGAAAGCCACCTTAGCAGTTGCTAAATATTTAGCTGCGGTGATTGCCTGTAAGAGGGTTGGATCTCGATTTGTTCAAGACCTTTGAGTCGAAAGAACAGTAAGATAAGAAGGCAGTTCTCTCTGTTCAAATGCCCAATTAACATCATCATTACTTTAGCCTTAATAATCATCACTGCTACCCTTCAACAGTTGTGGACATCCAGCAGAACCAAGTATACATTAAATATCTACACCAAAAGGAATAGGTAACAAATTGTGCATTGCAATCCTGTGTTAGGCTCTTTCTGGTTCATAAACAATGGTTATACACTCACCATAAGTAAAGAGACCAGGCAGCTGATAAACCTGTCGCCCAAAAATATTTCTTCCCAAAGTTGGAGGGAGGGGTTCATATCCCACCTTCAAAACAAAAAGACAGTCTGCAGCAACCTCAAGATTGTATACTTAGGAATTGTTCCAATACTACCTAGCTCTGATAACTACTTGTTTGGCCAGCAGTTGTAAGGTGTACCAGAAAAAAATTCAGAATATTTAATTCTGTTTTCTGTTTTACCGTTCCAGTGCATCAAAAACCAAAGCCATTACTTTTCCAAGATGGACATACTTTGCAACTTTTATTTGACATCAAGTTAGACTGCACTTAGCAAAAAAGAGAGAGTACAAGTACACTAGTTACCAGACATTTAAGACTACAGAACAAATGCAAATTCTCAGTCCCATCAACAGATCTAGACAGAGTACCACTCTTTTCAGTCCACTACGATCAATGGGCTTAGAAGGGTAATTCTGCTTAGGATGGCACTGCAAATTTCTGCCTTTTCCCTTCCTTGTATCCAGATAAATTTCCCCTTTTCTGCTAACTTTCCCCCCAAAAGGTAAAAGTCATTTAGAACAAAGAATTTTCCTTGATGGGAACTGCCTGCCTTTAGAGTTAAGTGTTCACTGCAACGAGGCCAATAAATCCCAAAGTAATTAGGTATGATTCTCCTACCATAGAACTCTTCTGCTTTGTATAATATGAACCACTGCTTGATTTGTCACAGCAGGTCATGCTAGGTAAATGCACTTTCCATAACCTGCAACCCTTATCTAGGATCAAGATCAACAGCTTAGCATAAACCTTTACAGGCACACTGGACTTCTACTGAGTCCAAGCAGAAGCAGCATTATTAGATGCATACTCTATCACACAGCACCAGTACTGGCTGGCATAAAAATATTTATTATTTATTTATTTATTTAATTTTATTTATACCCCGCCCTTCCTGCATGCGGGCTCAGGGCGGCTTACAACAATATGGCACACAGTGCAATAAAACGCTGGCATGAAATAATTGTGAGGCTAAGAATAGCTACCTAGATTCAAAACATGTGAAACACTGCAGAGATTTGTGCATTCACACTTATGCAAATATCATTCCCAAAGTCACATTTTTTATTAAAATATCCCACAAATGCATGTGATATTACACTTTTTGTACAGACAGCCTTTTGTTTCTGTGCAGCTACATCATTTTCAGCCAACGACAGTGCAAACATAAAGCCACAACTGGCAAAAACAACATACAGTCAAATGTGCTAAATAAAGAAGTGTTGTGGTCTGGAACTATTGGGAGTGTCTCAGACTCTACCAGTAAAAAACAGGGAAAGGACTCCTTTGAACAGGAGGCGACTATAAAGCCAGCACAAAACCGATCTGAATTTAGAAGGGCCTCTAAGAGCGAGGAAAGAAATATCAGACAAAGCAATCTGAAACTCTTGAGCGACATTTGCAAAAGCTTCTGCAATGCGAGTGGCACCGTGGCTAGCATTAGCAGTGCTGGTCTCCGAGGCATGTGGCCAGAGCCGAGGCAGCCCGCGAGGGAAGCGCAGCATTCTGGACCTGGTTCTGACTCTCTGGTGTTACCGGGACCGGCTGCAAACCCCACTGTTGGCCATCAACCTGTACGGCTGCTACTGCGGGGCGGGCGGTTCGGGGAAGCCCCTCGACGCGGTGGACCGGTGCTGCTTCTGGCACGACTGCTGCTACCGCCACGCCCGGCTCGCCCTCAAGTGCCGCCGGAGGGTCAAGTGGCAGCGCTACAAGGTGCTGTGCAGGAGTTCGGGGACGGAGTGCCGGTCGGCGAGCACCTGTGGCAGGCGGGCCTGCGAGTGCGACCGGCAGCTGGCGGAGTGCCTGACGGCGGCCCAGCCCCGGAGACGGCACGCCTTCTACAACCGGGGGGGCCTCTGCGGAGGACCGGCGGACACCTGCCCCGCCGCCCGCCACGACCGGACTGCGACGGAGACCGACCCCGCGCCTCCCGCCTCCGGGGCAAGGAGCGGCGCGTGAGGCTCTGTGGGAGTGGGGCACGCGGCAGGCCAGGCACCAGTGTTCCCTCTAAGCTGAGTTAGTGTGAGCTAGCTCACAGTTTTTTAGCCTCCAGCTCACAGGTTTTTGTCTTCGCTGAGGAAGGATGGCTCCAGAGCAAACTAATGTATGCAGTAGCCAAATCTCTCGCTCACAACCTTAATGCCAGTAGCTCACAAAGTAGAATTTTTGCTCACAGGACTCCACAGCTTAGAGGGAACATTGCCAGGCACCTGGTGCTGCCGCCGCCGCTCCGGCTTCCC